GTGAAAAAAAAAATCTTGCTTTTGGTTGAGTCCTTATTTAAGCAACAATAATAACACATCACTTTGGAAAAAAAGTTTATAGGTAATGTGGACTGGATCACGCAAATGCTTTTGAGACACTTTGAATATAGCTTTCCCGGGCAGAGTAATTTTCATCTAGAGAGCCACAGGATTCTAACATAAAAATATGACTTTTAGAGAATAATATCGCCATCAATGCTAATTTAAATCAGTTCAAAGACATACTTAAATATTACTGCTCCCTTCTATCATTAGTCACATTTCTGTCTGTGCATCAATGGGGATATCACACTCAGAACTAAGTGACTTACAGCTAAATAAATTGAGGCCATTGAAATTAAGCAACTAGCCTGAGGTAACGAAATCTGCCAGGGAATGTAATTCAACTATGCCAGTTCCCAGTTGTTTTCTAGCTATCAAGCCACGCTTCATCTGTATAGGTTTAACTTTATTTCTCAGACAGCACTGCACTTATGAATGCCCAACTCTGACCGTGAAAATTGGTTTTATGAACCAAATCCAGTCAGAAATAAATGAGAAGATATTCTTTACCATCACATCTGTATTACACAGTAAACTTAGCTTGTGGATGCTTGCACGGGACACATTTTATTCAGTATCTTTAGATGAAAAGGCAAAATTTTGTTAGACTAGACTAGGTTTACATAAGTTCCGAGACTCAAAGGGATGCTAAAGTTTTAAAAACCAATGGCTACGTTTTTTTATTATAAAAGATCAGACAATACACAAACACACAGTAAAATGTAAAATCTCCCTCGATGCCCACCCCCCCCAACCCGTTTCCACGGACTCCCCAGAGACCCAGTATGCAGCCTCCTAGCTCTTTTTCTATGTATTTACATACATAACAATACAGGATCCATCCATATAAATATACAGGACTTTAAGAACAAAACAAAATCCAGTGCTCTTAAAAGAAATGATCTTCTAAAACAACTTTAACTTTTAAGACATTCTTTACTCTTCATGACTGGCTAATAACAGTAGACTCTAGTCATGTCATAAAAAAACTGTATTTCCTTTTCTTTATCTAAATGTGTTCCACATAGCCAAGTATGTTTCTTATCAACCAACATAGCTATCACAAAGCTAGGGAGCACATTCATGTACCTTGCCCTAAACTATTAATAGGGACTGTTAATAGTTTATATTTATACTAAGTGGGTCCAGACTGCCTGGTGATTTTGATTGGCTTTTTTGGGGTTTAAAGAGAGGTTAGAGTGGGATAGTTAGGGGGGTTAATGAAAAAAACTTCAGATGTAGGGAGAGCTGGATCTGCCATTAATCCTTGGGCAATCATTTTAGGCCTCAGTTAAAATGTCCAACCCTCAGCACAGTGCCTTGCACACACTATGGGTTCAGTGAATGTTAGCTAAATTGAACAGACTTAAGAGAGAACCTTTAAGATCTTATTTAAAAGGCAATTTCATAATTACATGCCAAGGGAGACAGAAGATATATACATGGATGTAGGTGCTGCCACAGAAAGACTTAATAGAAGGAAGTGACATCTGTTCATCTGTCACTAAGGGAGAAAACACACAAAGAAAAAGTAATATTTTAAAAGCATAATAATCTGGGGCCATTTAGGGACAAAGAGCCCTGTGTATTTTGATAGCTGCTATAACAGATTGGTATAAAAATTGATATAATAAAGAACAAATTCACAAACAAAAGACTAAATTCTATTAAATATACTCTTTAAGAAGGTAGAAAAATGTATATTCCATTTAAAACATTAATCTTTTCGAGTTACATAGTGATTTAAAGATGTTAGCTGATTAGAAATATTAATAACTGAAATATCTTATTCTTCTGATGATAAATGAATTACTATATATGTATTTCTCTGGTAAAACAATAGCTCTGCGAACAAACACAGAAGATTTATTTATTAACTAGATGAACTGGCTGATATACAGAAACCTGAGTGCCCAAGGACTATCCTAGGAGCCTTTCTCTAGAGTGGGTAATTGGCATACTCATTATGTACCTCTTTAGTGCTTTCAAACAAGAACAATTTATATGCCTGTGTTTAAAATTTAATTTAATGTTCCTTCCATCTCTTTTGCTCTTATTACATATTTTAAAATAGCCACATAGAAAGTCTTATAGTAGGTATTCAATAAATATTTGCTAACTGCTGCTGAAAACATTAAGTCATCAATACTTCTGATTACCTCTCAGGCAGTCATGATATGTGGGGCATACATAAGCAGGAAAATAAAATGAAAAAGAGCAAGCCTTACACATCATTAAGTTCAGCTACTCTCCCAAGAAATTCTTCATAAGTTAAGGAGCCACTTTCTCGAACCAATGTGACATGTTTTGCTACTTTTTCTGGTAACTTGTTAAGAACCAACTGCGTCTGGTCCGAAATCTGTTGTCCCATGATGAAATGATGTCTTTTGAAATCCAGGAAGTGTTGCTTCACATAGTTTCTGTTAAATATATATATAAAAGTTACTATATATAATATAAAAACAGCAGTATATCCACCCCTTCAAGAAAATAAAAGAAAAACTAGGAATACATTTAAGTAGAGTTCAGGAGGCTGATATCATTTTGATATTAGCAAATACTTCCTTCTAGCTCAGGGGTGGGGAACGTCCAGCCCCAGGACTGTATAAGGCCTGAAAAATCATTTGGTCTGGTCCTGCCAAGCCATTAGGGGTGAGTTAATTAAATGTTTGACCAAATATAGCAGGCTAATTTTTAAGTTGATAATTTTGTATGGCCCTCGATGTTATAAATATCCAAATGGCCCCTGGCAGAAAAAAAGGTTCCCACCCCTATTCTGGATCATGGAACAGTAGTATTGCATGGGAACATAATTTGCAAACCACTGGCATAGAATTCAGCACAAGACAAATCTCTGGTCAAGATTTCTCAAAGAACTAGCAGCTCTCATACTATTGTGCCACCTATAATTTAGTCCTCGCAAGCAGAATAATAATGTGCTTTCAAAAAACATTTGGAAGATTTTTAAAATAAAGAACAACTTTTTTTTTTAAATATAAGAATATCAAGGATTCCAAAAATGCCACATTCTTTAGTGGGTGGTAATATACACTTGATCACTTCTTTTTCTAACAAGTGAATCGTTGTAGTTCAAATATCCTTTATAAAGATACAAAATTACATCATGGGCAATTGGCAAAACCAAAAACCAACCCCCAAACCCAACCCAACCCAACCCAACCCAAAAACATCCGGGAAAATTTAAACCATATCCATTCATAAAAGGATTAAAGAAAAGCTGAAAAGCCTGAAAGTGCAACAAAATGACTAACTCACAAGTACTGTAGTATTTATAAAATATACGTAACTGAAATAATCGATTATTTTCATCATGAAGTCAGTAATAAAAAAACATCAGTGATAACAAACTAGGTCCCTAAGGATACACTTTTATTACTCATTGCTTATTCAACCTCTGTTATCTGTAAGCTGTTCTGCAAGATAAGAAAATTAACAGCAGTTACAACAGATATTATAGGCAGTGAAACAAATTAAACTAGAGTCACTATAGAGCCTGGAATGCCGGTTCCAAAGAAAATTTTTATAGAAAGAAAAACTACAAAAGGAGAGAGAGTACTTGGAGGTTAAGAATACTGATTTCTGAGAGCACCAGTATGTTTACTAAATACATTACATACGTATTTGGAAAAATACACTAACTAGACGTGTAAGCATCCTCTCTGGACGTTCCCTGCTTTTTTGGCAGAGGGTAAGGTTAAGCGTGCTAGGTGTTTGGAAGTGAACTAAGAAAGATGGGGCCCCACACCTCAAATACCAAGTTCAGTTACAAGAAATGACAAAGAACATATCTTTGGAAATCTACAATTATACTAAGGAGGAAATTATTTAGAAATGGCAGCCAGGCAGCATCAAAGGAAAGAAAAAAAAATCCACACTATTTTTGAGTTCGGAAAGAATCACTTCTTAGAGAGGCGACTTCAATAGAGCAGTGACTGATTTAGGGTCTGGGCCCGATGAAATTCTGAATGGATGGAGCTCAATTCATCGCAGTAGGAATGGGCGGAGGGGAGTGGAAAAGAGTAACTCTATGCAGGGTCAGAATGTGGGCGTGCACTGCAATTAAAGGGGCTGGGGATGGATTTGAATAATAACAGTAAGTCCACGTTTTGCAGCTAACATACAAATAACAATTATTAGCAAGGAAACGTTTCGTCTTGGCCGGGCCTGCAGGTAGCTGGTTCACCAAGGTCAGACCTTTGGGAAGAGGAGCAGCCTAAACTGATTGAGAAACGGAGGGCCGGCTACGACCCGCTTGGCCGTGTGAGTTAGGGTCCCCGGGCAGAGGGGCTGTCCTCTGGGACGTCCGGTGCGGCCGGGCGCACGTGGTTTTCAACGTGACCGGTGTGTTTACCAAACACGCCGGCCGCCCCCGCCGCCTCGGCCCCTCCTCAGGCGCACTTGAACCTGGAGCTTTGAACCAACAGCCACATCCGCGATCCGACGGGCTGCGCAGGCGGCAAGATTCAAACGCGGTTCCGGGCTCGAGAAGGACCAGCTCTCTCCAGTGCCCCCAGGTCCTCTCCCCAAACGGGACCAGCCACCTCCCCACACCGGGCCATTGAAACGGCCGGGCCGGAGCCGGTGCGTCCCCGCAGGGCCTCCCAGGCCGGCTCCGCGCCCGACGCCGGACCTAGAAGGGCGGCTCCCCCCGGAGCCCGGCTCGGCAGTCCCAGCCCCAGGTTCGCGAAGCAGGCGGGACGGGAGACGACGAAAGGACGGCGCTGCGGAGCTCACCCAGGTTCAAGGCATCGCGCTTCCGGGGGTACAGGTGCCGCCCCTGCCCGTCACTCGGGCCCACAGGCGGCGGCGGCGGCGGGCTGCGGCGGCGGCGGCGGCGAGGCGCGCGACCGTCGCGCCTCAGTGACGTCAAGCGCGTTGCCTGGAGACAGCGCCCGTCTTTCCCCAGAGCTGGGCCTTGGCTCACGTGCTCTGCTGCTCCCGGGGACCTGAGAGGAAAGACCCAGGCGGGGGCCGTGCCCAAGTGGAGGCCTCGCCGGGCAGGCTCCTGGAGGTAGGGGCTCCGTGAGGCTGTCGTGGGTACGGCCTGGCCGACATCTGCCTCTCCCGGCGCCATGGGCGAGGGGCGGAGGGCCCCCCGGTGACAGAGGCCGGCGAGCCCCGGTTTGGTCAGGGGTTGGATTCCCAGCCACCACTTAGTAGGCCTCCAACCGCCCACTGGTCATAGTTACACAGAGATGGTCTCGTTCCTTACCACGAAGCGGGGTTGATTATGCTTGCCTCACTAGATTAAGAGACATAAAAGAGAACATGTGGGCAGTGATAGATGGCAGCTCTTACTATTATGAACAGGTGTTGGCGATGTTACGGCTTTTCAGAACATACATAGTCAATAAATGTGGTCCATTAAGTATCCCGTGTGCCAAAAAACGATACTAAACACCTACGGGCATTGCTCCAAGCACTCGGCCAGTAAACAGCAGAGCAAGGTTTTAACCGAGGTATGCTTAGCAGCTAAATGAAACTACTTCTCATCTTGTTAATGTCTCCACACCTGTCCTTCCCAATCATTTGTGGATTTACCCTGTGAGGAACTAATCCTGCCCTCTAATAATAAAGAGCTCACATTTATTGACCATTTACCACGTGCCAAGCCCTGTTACAAGGACTTTAAAGGTATTAATTCGCTTAATCCTCACAGCAATCTTATGAGGTATCTATTATTAATATCTTCATTTTACACATGAAGAAACAGGCTTAGGAAAGTTAATGAAGTTTTCCAAGGTCAACCGCCAGGTCAGGAGCAGAGCCAGATTCAAACCCAAGCTAATCGAACCCTGAGCCTATGCTTTTAACTCTTGTTCTAAAATACCTCAGTGAGATGATAAGACTTTAGCAGGACCAGGTCCATGTCTGTCTGTGTACTTTTCTTTTTTAAATATATTTTAATTGATTTCAGAGAGAAAGGAAGAGGGAGAGAGAGAAACATCAATGAGAGAGAATCATTGATCGGCTGCCTACTACAGGCCCCACACTGGGGATTGAGCCTGCAACTCAGGCATGTGCCCTTGACAGGAATGGAATCTGGGACCCTGCAGTCTGAAGGCTGATGCTGTATCCACTTAACCAAACCAGCTAGGGCTGTACTCCTTTTTTATACCTCATTTAGAGCATACTGAGGATTCTCTTCTAATGGCCAGCAGAGAACCTGGCATGCAATAGTTGTTCAGTATTTGAACACTTGATGAACATTTGAATGCTGCAAAAACTAAGATCCATCATGTGTGAAAGCAGTTAAACTTCGAAGAAATATTTGCAAACCCGTGTTCACTGCAGCTAATAAAAAGCTAATATGCAAATCAACCAAACGGCAGAATGACTGGTTGCTGTGACACGCACTGACCACCAGGGGGCAGACACTCAGCACAGGAGATGCCCCCTGGTGGTCAGTGTGCTCCCACAGGGAGAGCACCGCTCAGCCAAAAGCCGGGCTCTTGGCTGGCGAGCACAGTGGTGGTGGCAGGAGCCTCTCCCGCCTCCACAGCAGCACTAAGGATGTCCAACTGCCAGCTGCAGGGAGTGGGCCTAAGCCAGGGGTGGGCAAACTTTTTGACTCGAGGGCCACAATGGGTTCTTAAACTGGACCAGAGGGCCAGAACAAAAGCTGAGGGACGCCCCCCCCCCCCCGTACACGAATTTAATGCACTGGGCCTCTAGTTATTTATAATATCCAAGAGGTGGAAGCAACCTAAATGTCCATCAATAGATGAATGGGAAAAGAAAAAGTCATTTGCCCCTTTTTTAATCAAGCTATTTGGGTTCTGTTGTTGTCTGTGGACATCCTTAGTGCTGCTGCGGAGGTGGGAGAGGCTCCTGCCACCGCTGCTGCTCTTGCCAGCCGAGAGCCTGGCTTCTGGCTGAGTGGCGCTCTCCCTGTGGGAGCGCACTGACCACCAGGGGGCAGCTCCTGCGTTGAGCGTCTGCCCCCTGGTGGTCAGGGTGTGTCATAGTGACCGGTAGTTCTGCTGTTCGGTCGATTTGCATATTAGCCTTTTATCATATAGGATGCTGCAGTGAGCATGAGCATTGAGTTGTAAGAGTTCTTTATATATTTTGGAACAATTGGACATTGAAATTTTAAAAATGCCATTCAGCAGCAAAAATACTTAGGAATAAATTTGGCCAAAGAGGTGAAAGACATATAAACTGAAAATTACAAAACATTGTGAGAGAAGTTAATGATCTAAATACAGAGATATATCATGTTCATGGGTCAGAAGATTCTGTACTTTTAAGATGTGATTTGTCTCTGATTTGATCTATAGCTTTAAAGGCAAGTTCAATAAAAATCATAGCAGGTTCTTTTTGTGGAAATTACTAAGCTAATTCTAAATTTATATGGAAATTCAAAGGACTTAGAGTTGCCAAAACTTTGATCAAGAAAACGAAAGCTGAGGGACTTATACTGCCTGATTTGAAGACACTTCATCAAAGTAGATAAATGGATGAAAAACTAAGCACATGAAAAGATACTCAACATCATTATTCATTAGGGAAATGAAAATTAGAGGTACAATGAGATATCACTGAACACCCTAGTTACTAGAATGGCTGAAATTTAAAAGACTGATCATAGCCCCGCTGGCGTGGCTCAGTGGTTGAGCTTTGAATGAAACTCATGGTTTCATTCCTGGTCAGGGCACATGCCCAGGTTGTGGGCTCAATCCCCAGTGTGGAGTGTGCAGGAGGCAGCCGATCAATATTCTCTCTCATTATTGTTTCTAGCTCTCTCTCCCATTCCCTCTCCCTCTCTGAAATCAATAAAAATATATTTTTTAAAAAAGACTGATCATAAGAAGTGCTGACAAGGATGTGAAACAGCTGGATTCTCATATACAGCATGTTGGGAATATAAAAGGAAACAACTATTTTGGAAAACAGATTGGCCATTTTTTAAAAAACTAAACATGTACCCACCATATGATCTAGCCATTCATTCCACTCATAGCAATTTGCCCACAAAGTCTGTACATTAACAGTCATAGTAGCATTATTTATAATAGGCCCAAAGTGTAAACAATCAAAATGTCCATCAACAGGTGAATGGAAAACAAATTGTGGTATATTCACACAGTGGAATACTACTCAGAAATAAGGAGGAGTGAACGATTGATATTCTCAACAACATGGGTGAATCTCAAAATAATTATCTGAGTGAAAGAAACCAGGCTCTCCCACTCCCCAAATACATACTGTGTGATTCCACTGATACAAGATTCTAAAAAATCCAAACTAGAGTGACAAAAAGGACATCAGTGGTTGTTTGGAGATGGGGAGTAGAATGAAAAAGAGATGGGCAGGAGGAAACTTTTTGGTGTGATAGGTATGTTCATTTTCATGATTATAGTGCTGGTTTCACAGGTGTATACATATGTCAAAACTTCTCATATTGTACAATTTTATATGTGCAGTTTATTAAATGCCAGTTATACCTCAATAAAATTGAGGGAAAGGACTTTCTATTTCAACCTAATCTGAGCCTTGGATTCAGGAAAATTACTTTACAGATTACCTTCAGTTTTATAAAGTGGGGCCATTACTCCTTTTTATACCTTATGGAGAAAGTAATGAGGAATGAACTATAGGAAAGACTGTAAGACTATTAATTTAAATTAGTATAATTATTGATATCTCCAGATAATTCCTTCCATCTCTACAGCTTTTTGCTTACGTTTGCACAAGCATGATGAATTAGAATGTAAGCAATAAGACAGTAATAAGGATTATCTTAAAAACCATAGTAAAAGAGATTAAAAATTCTCTCTGTAATTCTTATCATGAACTTATTTTGTAGCAGGGTAAGGAAACCTTTATTTTTTATGTATTAAAAAAGTAGGAAAAATGTTTGTAGGATACCATAAATATAAATAGTAAGAGTTATGAAAGAAGGAACCTCTAAGTTAATTGTTTTATAAGAAGGATCCTTTTATAATGAATCTTGCCATTTGTAATGTGTATTCAGTTTACATAGGTATTTTCCAGTTACAATGCAGAGACTTCAATAAAATCGTAGTAAACACAGTTCTGTAGTGAAGACCAGGAAAATCTGAGAGACTTTTGAAATATTTTTCTAGGAAAGTATGTTCAATGCCTCCTGCTTTTTGTAAGGTCACTAAACATCTGTGACAGGACTGTGGGAATGTATGAGGCAGCTTTTAGTGAATATGGATTGTAAACATTTTTAACTTCCTGATGTAAAAATCATAAAGTTGAAAGAACTGTCTAATAAATCATCTAGTCCAACATTCTTCTTTTATAGATGAGAAGCTGAGATTTAATGAGAAGTAGTTCATCTAAGGACTACAGAGCAAGTTAATTAAACTGGGTTAGGATCCTGATTTCCTGGCCACTAGTCTGGTACTTTTCCTCAGTACGATATTGTGTTTCGTTCTATTTGTGTAGAATATGAGGGAACAGCTGGTCACTTACAGTAAAAGTTAAGGCTTCATCATCTTCCAGAATTCTCCTTTCTGGCTGCTTCTACTCAAGATCCGTCCTCCGTCCTCTGCTTTTATTTACACATTTGGAGAGCTCATGCACTCATAACTTCAATTATCACCTGTATTCAGATGATTCCCAAATCAGCGTTGCCAGTTGTTTTCTTCCATTGGTGTTCCAGTCCTGTACTTCCATACTTGCATAGAATATCTCCCATAGGAATAAATGCCACAGTAATGGCATCTGAATTCCACAATTTCCATATCATAGTGGCTTCAGTATTATTCTGGTCTCCCAGGCTAAATCATGAAGAAATTTCTGTCTCCTCAAGCATTCTGTCATGGTGTCCTATACTTTCTTTAAAATTTCTCCTTGTTTAATTTTTTTATTCTTTTTAAAAATTTCTTAGTGTGTGCTAGGCACTGTTAATTGTCCTATATTTATTATATTTTGTAAGCCTCACCCTGGTCCTAAGAGATAGGTGTTAAAAATAGATACTAACATCTTAACTTTACAGAAGAGAAAGCGGTTCTAGAGAGGTGAAATAATTTGCCC